GTGTGTGTGTGTGTGTGTGTGTGTGTGTGAGAGAGAGAGAGAGAGAGAGAGAGAGAGAGAGAGAGAGCAAGAGAGAGAGGTCCAATTACTTCATGGTCAGTTTGACCTGCTGTCAGTTTCTGCTGTCCACTGCTAACACCTATCCCCGGCAGAGAGACTTCTCTGATGAGGCCTGGGAGCTGCACCAATCTAGGGGTGCAGAGGGTGGTTAGATACTGTGCGCACTTGACAGAATAAGGGTAGCACGTTTATCCCTGGGACCTGTGAACTCCCCAGCTGTGGGGTTCTTGGCCAGATTTCCAGTATTAAGCATGTATTTCCTCCTGTGGAGCAGGCCTTAACTCTAATCAGAAAGTGGTGGGTTACTCCATAAAATTCCTGACGTTACTACACCCAGGGGCACATATTGAAGTTCACCGGGTTCACAACTGGGTAAGATGTTTGGTCAATTCTTGCTCCCGCAGGTCTGCACAGTGCCTACCAGGACTGTGAAAGCAGGTCAGAGACGAGCCTTCCTGGTCGATAAGAACTTAATTTCTGCATGCTCTGTGACAAAAGGACGCACGGAGTTTTTAAATGGTCATGTCATGCCTGACATGTGGGACGTTCCAAAACACTGAAGCTTATTCCTCCTCATGTCTCCAAGGATGTGTGCACCGCGTGAGAAGGGTTTCTGACCACACGGTGTTCAGTCCTATGGGAGGAAGCCATGTAGGTTTGTCTCTGCGAGGAAACTAGGTGCCAGGTCCTTCCCAGATTTCTGGATGAATATCAGAGATCATGAAAAACCCAATTCCTTCAATTTAATTTTTTCTTTGGAATATAAATCCATTTATTTGGGTACTTTAAAAGCTGGCAATACTCAATTACCCTCTCATTTAAAAATATTTTAGGTATTTCCCTAAGAACTAGTTTTAATACCAAGAAAGAAAACACTCTTGTCCCAGTTAATGAAGTCATTTGTACAGTCATTAATTCTGTGTGTCGTTGAATGCTGACAGTGAGCCAAACAACAGAATCAAAGATGGAAAATGTTCAGGCCATCATCCCAAGATGTTCAGACTAGGCACAGAGGCAAAGCCACGGGTGGGGTGAGCAAAGGCAGACAGAGGAAATCATTTGGGGAGCAAGGTAAACGAGAGGTGTGTGTTTCCAAATGCAAGAACCATTTCACAGTGCTGCCTCCCGACCAATCCGCTTGATTTATTGATTAGGATTAGCTGAGCAGCAGCCCAGACCAAAAAAGGAATACAAATTAAAGAAGGCCCAGAAGTAAAGGTGGAATATTCTTGGAAGAAGATGTGCTGAGTCACAAGGATGCTGACTGCCAATAAGAACCCTTAGTCTCAAAGGGACTGATTCAGTCTGTTCGGGGTGTTGCCAAAAGGAGCAGGAAAGGAGAGGGCGGGACCTGCTTCTGGAATTTGCTTCCTGCTAACCTACAGGCTCTATTCAAACCATCAATCATTTCATGTCTTTTTTGGTGTTTAATGTTTGCATAATGATGCTATGCCAAAGAGGAATGAAGACAGATGCCTTCATTTGCATGAGTTCGCTTATATATCAAGGTTTACTGAACAAACACGGCAGTGAAACGGGGGGGGGGGGGACTTGGGTAAGTCAGTCTGTA